CAGACAATGACAAAAATCAATTTCAGATTCCAAATCATACTACAACTATTTTTGTCAGTCACAGCAAAATGAACTCCTTCTGCAGAGAAGAAATTCTTTAAAGATTTTTCAAAATGAACTATTGAGTAAAACCAAAGGGTACTGTCTGACAGCATGAGATACGAGTAATCACTGGTTTTATTTATTTTGTCCCCTATCTGAGCTACTGGGTGGCTAACAGCTAATTTGTCAGATCAAATCAAAATGCATTTAATTCGGCAGTTTCAGATGCTGGATTCCATGCAAGCTCTCACACTAAAATCGCCGTGTCTCAGTATATTTGTTAAAAGAATGAACTTTGTTGTTTAACCTCTGAACTGCAGCGTACTTGCTTGCCTCCAGGCTGCATTTTCTATCAAACTCCCCGTTTCCTCTCACCAGCCACTGTGTATTAGAGTAAATTCCCAGTCCTGTGAATGAAATCTGAGATAAAAATACCTGCTGTTCCTTGGTAACAGCCTTCTGTATGGACATACCCTTCATTCAACAGGATCACCTCCAATATCGGCCCTCAGCAGTCTATAACCCTGCTCTTACTTGGCCAACCCTATGTCTAGGATGTGGCAACAGCTGTTAAGATGCTTCGCCACCACGTTCTTTCCAAACGGATGCCCAAACTTATATATGGGCAATGTCAGGTCGGCCAGACTGAACCCAGAACCCCAACTACATTCTTTTAAGAAGGAGAAAAGAATGGAGGAGACAGCTTGTCCACAAGATAAACACAAACAGGTAGCCCTAGGAAACACAACATTAGCTTCCTCCTAAAGAGGGGAAAATTCTGTTCAAAACTCCTTACCTTTACTAATTTCCAGATCAACAGGATACTCAATATTCTTGATAAGCTTCTGGCATCCACCAGTTTTCTCATAGACGAACCGCTTGAGGTGTAAAACAAGAACAGGGGGCAGTTCTTCTAGTGTCACTCTTCGACTGATCTCCACCTAACACATGGACAGAACAAAGATGGAGAAACTGCAACCAAACTGCTCAAAACTGCTCCTTTGAAAGGAGGTGTTTAACTTACAATACACTTGCAGAAAAAAACAACACAGAGTTTAATTAATTTATGATACATACTGAGATTTATGACTTCAAGCACACTGGATCTTCAACCACATTGTTGTCTTTAAGGAGAACCCCAACACCTTTTAGTAGAAGGCAATGTGTCAGAAGGAGCAGAGATGTTTTGGACCCTGCAGTACTAAGCCCACCGTGCTGGAGACCCCCGGGGAGCAACTCCTCATGACAGTTTAGTGTTTAGTAACTCTTAACAAGCTCTAATGCTCTAATGCAAGGTCAAGAACCTGTACCGCACGCTGCTGACTTCAGAGAACACTGAGGCACGGCAGACAAGAGCTCCACACCTCAATACCTGACACAAAGGGTTTTCGCAGGGGAGGTAACGATCGTTCGTGTATTAAGAGCAAGATACTAGAACACAACAATTCGAAAAGCATTTTATATCAAACAGAAGATATTTGTCCTTCAAGAAGATCCTCAAAAAACAAAGTGAGCTGTTATGTAGACCACCAAAAGTGAGTAGTTCAAGAAGATCCTCAAAAAACAAAGCGAGCTGTTATGTAGACCACCCAAAACCGAGTAGGCCATCATGATCGGCTGTTACGGAGGAGACCAGGAGTTTAAGATTTTTCATTCTAAAAAAGTATGTTGTGTTCTTCAAAAGATGCTGAAGGAAAGTCAAAGGCAAAAATATGAGTTAACTTCCCTTTTTTTCTACTAAATATTGATTTTTATGTAATTATAACCACAAAATCCGCAAAGTTACTGTTGGAAAGCCTGAAAGTGAACTCAGTTGCAGAACAAAAATGTTTTGCCTTCCTAGAAATTATGACATAAAAAACATTTCTCAAAGTAACTGCTTTAGGTTTTTCTCACTTCTTTTATTGAGAAAAATCTCCTTATTGTAAGTCATCAGCATGTTATTTTTCAATACAGGGCCTGATTCTGCTAGAACATACTAAGTGCGAAATAGAAACTCATGGGTAAAGAGCTATTACCTCCTCCCAAGCATGAAAAGTAAAACCTCTTTGGACACCGAGGCAAGCAGATTTTGTAGGGCACTTGACTTCCTTTGAGCCAACCCAGTTTACAAAAAGTAATTCTACATCTGAAGCAGAAATAGTTTCTACAAACTGTAAAATTTCACCTGCACCTTAAGGGTTCCAAACACGCCTCACTGCATCCAAAACCCATCAAACCCCTGGCAGCGGCTGCAGCTTCACTGAGAACTGAGACGGGATCTTTATACTAGGCGTTTTTTTTTTTTTAAACCAGCAAGCCAAACAGGACCCTGTTCTTTTCCATTCAACATGTGCCTGCTGATGCCCGCCTCCTTGACTCCCAGGAAACAGCATGCAGAGTAAGAAGTCAGAAGGCAAACTGCGAAAGTGGCAACAAGAGGTTCACATAATTACCCTGTGAACTCATGAGAGCATGCAGCTTCCATGCAACTTGGCATGGAACAGCTTCTGCTTTTAGGGAGCAAATCAACAGGCTTTCTATAGAGAAAGAATACACAGTTGATTCAAGGGGTTATTACTATCTCAAGATTTTCCTGTAATGAGTCTTCTAAATCTGCAACCTGAAGTCTGAATTCAGAGTTTTGTGCAGAAAGAACCTAAGAGCTCCCAGCGGAGCCCAGGAACAGAGGACGCTGAGGAATGTCACTGCAGCGAGTTAAGCAGTTGCCATTCTCTACCCTCAGTGAGTTGGCGTACGGGACCAGATGCCGGCACCTCAGCTGCGCCGCTCTGCCTGGCGTACGAGCTTAGAGCCCCCATCAAAGCCGTTCTGTGTTACCCTGCCAGACTGAAGAGCAGCAGCTGAGGAACAGGCACACGTTCTGCCGCCCTGACTGCGGGAAGGGGCTCCCACTGCTGGCAGCAACAGCACCAGCTGAAAGTGCCAAAAATGTTTGTTTAGTCAATGTGAGTCAGAGTCCCAAGAAAATGTTTGTGAGATCCACAAGGAGCAGCTGGAGAACTCCAGGGGATGTGAAGACTCCTAAGGAACATGTGGAAGGTAACCTGGAAAATTAAATCAGGTAGGGCTAGTTAGTTACTCAAGAGTCTTCACTTCTGTTAGAAACCATGAGCAGGTCTGCAGATAAGACTGAAAAGAAAAATCACTTCAGGGAGGTTAAATATCAAGCCTTTAAAACATATATATTAACTGTTGAAATATTCAAGATTTAACAAACCGATTTGCAGGACCAGAAGGAACCAGAAGAACTTCCTTCAAGTGCTAGCAAGCACGTGAACTCGAGTTCTAAGCAGCAAGAGAATGCTGCGCCATTTTAAATACCTATTTTAATTTAAACTGCCTAATTATTTTAAACCCTGCCTGAGTGAAAATTTGGCTGATTTCCTGGTTATATTCACACACGAAACACTCAAAATCAGCTCAAAGTGATTAAAAAAACTTTAAGAAAAATTATTTACATATATTTGGATGATTATTCTTTTCACATCTATTGTTTATGCCCATAACTGGTAGAGAACGTAATTCAGATTAAAGCAACTAGAAGATAGTAATACTTTTTAATAATATAATACGATTTTTAGCTTTATCCGTAGTCAAAGTTCCCCATCTGTAAAATGAAGAAGAAATACGTATGTTGCTTGATCTACAGTCAACGTGTTCAGGCTTTTCACTACGATTTTAATACAAGAACAGTCATTTCGACTTGAATTTCTTTTGAAAAATGATCTAAAAGACATTGTGCATGCTTGTATTTCCATTCAGACTCTAAAATATAAACCAGACCAAACCTCCAGCACCTAATTTGAACACCCATTTCCTCCAAAGCCCGTAACTGAACACTGGGTTCTCAGTAAAGAAGTTAAAACCATCTGCAGTAAGAACCAAAAAATGACTGACTAGCACAACAAAGTCTGTGTGGTAAATCACGATGAGCTTGCGTTGCAAATGCTTCCTTCACATGGAAGACAACCGGAGAAATAAATCTCCAACACTCCTACCAAGCGTACAAGGCAGACAAGTTTCAGCTATCCATCTTTAGCTTCTCCAAGGAAATGGTCTACCCTTCCTCTATCTAACCTTGTTCTCCCGTGGAGCAGTCAGAAAGCGGAGAGAAACGAACGCCAGAGAGAACAACTACGACTCAAGAGCCTCCATCCAGCCTGGCCTACTAAAGAGGAGCGTACGCCGAAGTCCCGTCTGAGCAACCCAGGCACGCCGGAGATGTTAGTCACCAACGCACACCACAGACAAGGCAACACCTCAGTGGGGAAAAACTTTCATTCATTACCCTGGATCACAGGTTCTCACGCTGCACTGGCAGCGCGTGAAATCTTTTTCTATCGCAATTATTACTGTATGTATTGTATCATTTGAAAAATGAGATTAAAAAAAGGAAAAGTCGCATGGGAATACAGAGTAACTCTGACTGTGAAGAACATTTTTCTTCAACTGATCACCTAACACTGAATACAGTATTACTGACAAGTTTTTAAGGCTGTATACAGCAAACCAGTCAACTGTACAGTGCCAAGGACACTGAATGGGGGTGTTACTGGCTACTGGAAGATTCAGATTATTGATCCAGGAGAAAGAGAGTGATCATCAGATGTTTTGGTGAGGTTCTAGATGGTTCTACCAGGCCTACCAATGAATATTTGCATTTTTCATTTTTTAAGTGCAATGTGTAAATTAAAACCCCTCAAGGACAGCCACACAAGTGTTGTGCTTCAACAGTTCTCTTCTGAAAGGCAGAGAGTGCTTTGAGACAATACTCTGAAGAGCTGCTCCTTTACTACAATCACCTGGCAACCTTCAGGATGTAACATCAGCTAAAAGCTATTTTACTCGTAATAGTATGTCTTATTACCCTGTTAATTTAATGTACACCCCGGTAAAATCTCCAACCAATTACTGCACCAACCCAGACAGCATACCTGTTAACAGGCATGGTTTTGTTGAACAGTCAGATCTCTTCCTTTCAGCGTGTGTTCAAGGTAATACGTTTTACTGCTGCAGGGCACTTTGAGAAGGGTAGTACCTCTTTTGTTAACATAAGTAATAGTGTTCAAGTAACTATTTGTAAAGCAAGAGCTGTATAAAAACCCTTTTAAAAAGTATTTGACTGCAAAAAGGGGTCAACAGAACACACCTCTTGCTTGGTTTTTGTGGTATAACCCTGGACAGACTCTCTCGCCACCAAACTTTCCAACGCATCCTGAACTGTGCGTATCTTGTCTGACTGGATATCCAGTTGCAGGGTGAAGAAAGGTTGCAGTGTAGCAGACTCCTTAGAACTCTGCTGGTAAACAACAGATCTGTGGAAACAAAAAAGTGAAGATGTAATAAAGCAGAGTAATTTTCAACAATATAAAACCTTCAAGTATAAATGGATCAAAGTCTGCATTAGTAATCCAAACCAAAACACACAAACACAAAGGTTTAGCATGTTTCAACAACCTGAATCCATTTCACTGCAATTTAAATGATTTTTACATTCACTGAATGGGATTACATCTGACTGTTTTCTTTATGCAAGGATTAAACCAGTTATTGGATAAGCACCAGAAGTCTGAAGAAAAATACTGACATTTTAGATAATGCATTTAAAGAGATTCCCCTCCAGACTCTTTTCACGTTGGTTTTGAATTATGTTTTCCAATAGATCTTCAGAAGTGCAAAATACTAGTGTTCATCTAACATGTTTTACTGTCAAACTTACAATTCATTCCAGATTCTCCAATAGAAATACACAAATTTTTCAGTCACTTCACCAAGACCAATTTCACAGTGATTTTAAACTGTTTGCTTAAATCTTGCCATAGGAAATATAAACTATGCTCCACTGAGGACTGGCATTTCCTTTTCCTCCCATCACTTTCTGTGTCCAGACTTTGTCCATGTGCTCCTTTGTACATAAATTGGAGTCTTTCAGAAAACCGGCAGAAGTAATGAACTAGGGCATGAGAACTCGTTTCCTGTTTTTTGGGATTTTATTTTTGTTTGAAGTGTATTCAGTTGCAGCCTTTAAGTGGCCTGGCTTGGGGATCACTGCTTTGTGCAATGAGACAGTATACTCTTCAGCTGCAACGTCACTGAACTCAGTGGCTCTTCCTGATTTTCACTCTTCTGAAACTTCACTGAAAACTAAAAGCACCAAACATGGCTCAAGAATTTTTTTTAAATTTGATTTTGAAAGTAGTACTTAAATTAAAAAGCCCCAGCTGCTACAAAAACATGGTTTACACAGCCAAAGAAATCCTTCATTTATTACATTGTTATGCTTGTTACTGTGCCCCACAAAGCCTGAAAGTAGTCAGATAATTAACACAGCTCTGAATCCAGGTGGCCATGCTGAAACATCTCCAGGTCATGTATGGAATGCTTAAAGCTTGGACTGCAAACTCCTATCAAAAGAGCCCCTTTGACTGAGGCAAAGTCCTGAAGCACCACCAGAAAGCCAATGCATCTTTATATTGGCAAACATATGTCCCTGAGAGGAGAGAGAACGCATGAAAAACAGCAGCATCTTTATTTCAGTTTAACACTTCCTCCTTGGCTATATTTAAAGGACAAAACCTTCAACACATGGCAAGTGCAGTGTTTCAACAAACAAACCCTTCACTGTGTCAGTCTGGCTGCTTTTGGATACGCTTCCCAAGCCCTTCCTAAGCTAACCGTTACTTAGCGCAATAATCAACAGGAAACTGCTAACAACTCCAACTGTTTTCAAGTCCACGTATTAAAGATTTGATTAATAATACAGATCATATCCTGAAAAGGCAACATTAAGGATTTTTTAAATTATTAGAAATTAAATTGCAACATTTCTCTGAAACATTTTCTTCAAAAATGTATGCGGCAAGTGACAGCAAAACTTTTGCAGGACTATGATTTCCTGTAACAGTATCACTTATTAGAATAATTACAGATTTCAATCAGTCAAGGAAAAATTAATCATTTTCCATGAATAATTGCTCTCTGGTACTACAAGAACTGTACAGTAAGAAATTTTCAAGAAAAGAGGAACTGCACACTGGAACCCTGCCTAAACAACAACAATGTAGTTGCTGTATTTTCTTTTACAGTAAGAGTGCATTTGCAGAGTTGGTACTACTTATGGAAATATTTAGCCCATTTCTAACTCGCCTGTGAGCTACGCTGCGGAACAAGTGTGTGAAATCCACACAGGCTACAAGTCAAAGGGACTCCTGCACGTGAACGAACCAGATCCTGAAACAACTCGGTTTTTGTGCTTACGCACTCAAGTCTCACACCGCTCAAGAAAGATATTCTGGTGGGGTTTTCTGTTGTTTTTTTAAGCAAATATGCCTAAATAAGCATTTAACAGACAATTAAAGCCTCGAAGACAGCCTAAAGTTTTCCAAGGCAAAAGATGCCAACTCAAACCATGTTTTCCTAACTGCTTTTCCGTGTGATTTTTCCCATTTCTGATGCTTTCATTTAGTAGACTTCCGCTGGCAATTCTGAATTCAATCCTTCCTATCTCCACCCTCAGGCTCAGAGGATGAAGCTTTCCAGCACCACAACACGGGATACTGTTTCTGCGGTAGGCTGTGTGACCTAGTTTGGAGGCTGAAGAAAATGGGTGTGGTGGCAGCAGACAACAGATCACAGATTGGACCCTATGGTTCTGCTGCTCAGTGCAAGTGTTTGGCTTTTTTTCAGGATTACCTTTGATTTATAAAATTTTCTGTGGACTTCTACAGAAGAGAGCATTCTCTTAGTATTCTCATTTTAAACACTAATGGAATCCTGTAGAGATCTGAACAACGTTGACCAGGGTAAATATACTAATGGCATTAACAATACCTTGGGTACGTGAACTTACAACTCCCAACGCAAAATTTTGTCAACACGTTCAAACATCGGCCTGTCCATTTCTATGGAAAATATAGTCTTATTTGCCAGCTGTCTGACCCAAATCCCAGCAGAATAATTTCAGTTACACAAGCAGAAGGCACTAGCCCACAGTATTCACACCTCTAGACTGAATACCTGGCAACACAGGGAGTCAAACACTAGCAATTAGGTGTCTGTCTCCAATTTAAAAATAATTCTTCAAGTCTACATTTTTGTTTTGGAATATGTTTTTAGCAAGTGTTTACCTTGCTTTAATTTGAAATTACACATTTCTCCAAGGAAGTCACGAGGCTTCCTTTCCAAAAAATATTCTTCCAGTATCTACTTTCTGCCTTCATCTGGTATCAGACCTGAATACAAGTCATGTCCCACATTCTTTTCATTCCTGTAACATCTTGTAGTAATTTACATTTTTCTCAACTTCTTCTGCCTTTAACATTTTATGTATTAACTATTACACGTAACTTTCTTGCCTCTAGGAAGCGTAAGTGTCTAAAACCCCAAAAGTTTACGATGTCTTATTATATTTCATTCTTTTACTGACCAGATTTAACTCTTGGCAAATCTCACTATCCTTTAGTATCCTTATTTACAAAAGGAGTCAAGGATCCTCAGAGGTCACAAAAATTGGGTAGCTCTCAAGCTCTTTGGAATTTTTAGACATTCGTATCAACATACAAAGAACATGTATTTCGAAATCCTTCTCTATTTGCAATTTGGGGGTTTTGTTCTCTAAACAGTTTGTTCTTTTAAGACACTTAAAAGACTTAGATGCTGCAATAAGCTACAGATCATTGACCAATCCTTCAATCATTCTGGTCCATCTTCTGAACTCTCTCTGGAATAACATGTTTCATGGCAGAACGTTCACCTCTCCTGGCCTGAGCAATCTGTTACACGGTCTCTTCTATCCGACTATCTAATAACAGTGAAAAACACAGAAAGCAAAGCAGACAAAGAAGTTACCTGTAAAGGCAAAGCAGCCTACAGTCTCAATAACTTTTACAAAGGTGTACTATACCTTATATGACCACCAAAAATATCAGTAATGGGAGTCTGAACGAAGTCAGCCTGTCGAGTGACGGATGATTTGTTGCGAGGCCCCACTTGCTCCCATTCATCCTCACTGCCTTCCCCTTGTTCATCTTGCTCCTCTTCTTCATGAACAGTCTGAGCCTCAGGGCCATTAGACACTGAGAGTTCTTAAAGAAAACAAGAAAAAACAAAGCATTGATTTTTTCTTGCAAATAAAACATGTATACAGATACAGAATTTGAAAGGAAAAAGCCCCAGTGTTTTCACAGATGACAGATTTGAGAAAGTAAATGAGAACAAGTATATTCCAGGCTCACTCCTGGCTGGACACGTCAATACGTTAACAGAATGCAGCTCACTGATGACCGTATGTAAACACATGTAGTTTTCTAGCAAAGTTTGATATATTTTTAGTAGTAAATTTATAGTGTAGAAAATTAGAAAGTCAAGTGTTATTCTGCAAATATAATTATGCCATTATTAAATACAACTCCTTTCTGCAGAGATATTTTACAGGGAACCCAAGGCTCAGCAAATATTTTCTTTGCCAGTGCCAAAGTCAGGAGGCTATAAACTGCACACAGCTAAAGAACAAAATATGGAATGGCCATTTTGTATCATAAAAAAATTACCCTACTAAAGACAAAGTGGATTAACTAGTGATCTTAATTCTATACTTGGCTAACAGTAACAGTGTTTTGTTTCATTTTAAATAGGGGACTCAAACACAAAGCCACTGTAAAATAAAACGTCATTTTACTCTGCATACAAATTCTAATACTTCCGAAGAAATTCTTCCTCTAACTATGTCAATAAAAATTTTAAGATCATTTAATATGTTCTGGTTTATATGAGATATAAATTAGCTATTAGTCTAGAAGTTTCCACTTTAAAAAAAAATGTAAACAGGAGTTTACGGATCAGTAAAAAAACACACGGCTATATTTTTGAACTACCATGGGGAGAGCTAAAACCCCAGTAAACAACTGACATCGCAGCTATTACGAACGGCAGACAAACATACCTGTGCTTAAGACAAGACTAGTCAACTTGAGTTAGCCTCAAATAATGGTCAGTTGAGCTCAGTAAACATTTGGCATACAGATTTGCTGAGGAGGACCAGGTATATGACTTGTTATTACTGTCACTCAGAGTATTTACCAATGATAATGCTTTTCCTAATACCCAGTAACACTTTAGATCCATTTGTAAGTTGGAAAGAATGGACTCATTTTATCCTTTGGACAGATTTTAACAAAAGGTTGTTAATGTCTGAGTCACCTAAACCAGGCATTCTATCCCTATCCCAACAGCTACTCCAAACTTTACTGTGCATTACAGAATCACCACAAAAAAGAACATTTGAAAGAAGTTGAGTTTGCTTAAAAAAACCCAAAAACATAACAAACAAACAAAAAAACCACTGACTTTCATTATGAGGAGAGAGAAGTTTCTTTAGGGTCAGCATTTCTTCGTGTAGTCCATTGAGGATAAATCCCAAGTACTCTTCAGCATCCTCCTGCCTGCCCTGAATAAAATGGTTTATTTCAATTACTATATGACATTTTCATTTTAACAGAAGGTTCAATTACACTGATCACCTAGCTTCCTCCTGTTAAATTAGATAATTCACCAATTAATTAGCCTAAGCTGTATAGTCAAATAAACTTTATGTTTTACTGTAACCACCCCTCAATTTTTAAACAGTTCAAAGAACCAACGCAGTAATCGGCAACCTGCCACAAACGAGTGCACACGTAAGCTTGACTTAGATGCAAGGGTTTCGGCTTTGTTCTCAACACACATTCAATTTGACATGTGATGTGGTGCTTTGTTTGTTTTAAAAGCAATGTTAAAAGCTGCTGTCAAACCAGAACCAAAGATGCTCTGAACTATTAGGTTTCCTTTAAATTGAAATGAAGACTAAAACAGTATTCTGAAGTCACTGTGGAACGTCAACCTTTCCAAGCTGAATCCCAAGCAGCAACAACTGTTCATTTCTTAAATATATATCAATAGGTATCATCTATTTTATAAAGAGATGTTCCACTCTAATCATAACTTATTATTCTGATATATCAGCCAAATTTATCATTAACACCATCTTACAATTTAACTCCCAAGACAGTCTAGCTTCACTGTCATGAACTATCAACTAGTTGATTTTAGTGATCTTTAGGCACAGAACCTGCTGTATGGGTTTACGTTGTTTTAACGACAACGAGTGCCTTGCAATGCCATTACAGAAGTGAAAGATCTGCAAGTCACACCTTTTCTGACAGACTTGACTTTATAACCGTCAGAAGTCTGTAAATGTACGTAGGTTCAAAGGCAGCTCCTGGTCGGATGTCTCTCACAATTTTATCACCTAAAGCTGCAAGGCAAAGAGAAGTACGCATAAATAAATCAATAAATAAAAGGTTTTCTACACTGTACCTTAACATACTCTTCACACATCACTAGATTTTAGAACCCAAGATTATTTTTTCTCAATAGTTTCCTTACGATTTCAGTGACTCAGGCTGTAAATTCCTAAGACACAAGTCTCTACCTGTAAATGAAACATCTTGCATCACTCTACACAGACCTACAGATGGCCTGGAAAAGCTAGCACTCTCTATAGCCAACACTGAAGATTAACAGGAATACCCACAGCCATCATAAAAGAACAATTCTGGATCTATTTACATTTCTGTACTCCTTTTGTATTCAAAGAACATTTCCTTAAGTCTTTTATAGGTTTGTAATTCTAACAGATCACTTTTCCTCGCTGCAGAAAAAAGAACCCAAAAACCAAACAAGAAACAGTTTGACAGAACTGTCAAGCTAATGGCAATACAACATCCCAGTAAATCTGAAAACTACACCATATAACAGATGACCTAGAAGTATAATAAGTTGCATAAGACAGTAAGATTTGTTTTACAGAAAGAAAACCTAAGCAGCAAACCACAGAAATGTCTGAACTGTTTGGAAATCACTGGAACAAGCAGCTCCTCGTGATGTTTTCTAATAATGTTACATAAACACATTCCTGAAATGGTTTTTACCTTCTAGAAGTTTGTATTACAACAGATTTAGTTGAGAGATAAAAAATGAAACCTGCAAGGTAATTTATCTCACTACATAATTGTCACTGAACCTAAACATATTAGTAAGAACCATACACTTTTGAAGTTCTCTCACTGAAACTGTGCATAGGATGGGGAGGAATTAAAAGCCATGATAACACGCCTGCAGGCAATCTCTAGACTGCTAGAGACACCCATTATGGCCCCGTCTTGTTCCAAATGAATGTGTTTACTACTGAAGGAAGAATGACAGAATTGAGTAAGTTGATAAACCAAACAGCTGGGAATATGTAGGGAAGGAAGCAGAGTAAAATACAATGAATATCAAACGATTTTGTTCGAAAGGGCATGTTCTTAGAAGACATCTTGACAATTAAGCTAACATTCAAAAAAACCAATTCTTACTGCATTTGTACATTTGGTCTACCAAATATAAGAAAACATGTAAGGTGCAACACTTTCTATGATTTTTGACATGAATCACTAATAAGGAAAAGCGTAACACTGACAGAAAAGCAACAGAGAACTTTTTAAGATACCAAAAAACCCTCAAAGAGCCATGAAGGGGCTCATCAAGCACCAGTATTAAAAGGTTGTAAGTACATCACACAAAGCAAATCCTAACCCCAAAGCCTCCTTATCATGATTTTAAGACTTTTCTCCCCCTATTCCCACTCACCTTGTTTTGCTTTAGGAGGTACAGGCATATTAGTGAACTCATTCATTAAACGAACACTGAAACAGAATGGAAGGAACAACTAGATGTGAGCAGCAAGTTAAGACTTAGAAGGACCAATAATAAAATAGATCATCCTCATTACTGACTGCAAAACAAAGACTAAAATTGAAGAACATCATAATGAAGTCTGAATAAAGTTCAGACTAAGAATTAACTTGATCATCGTTAATTAAACCAAGGTGTTAGGTTAGTTCTTGCAGCTCCCACGGTTCACTTTTGCATATTAAACACTAATTAAAACTGATATTCCTCAAGCAATAGGTAGTATCTTCCTTGACTAGTCAAGCAATTGTAAAATACCAAGTTCATTATAAAACCCATGTATCACCAAAAAACACACTAACAGAGACTTCGGGCTACGCATCAACTTTCAACAACTGCAGTAAACAATCACTGGACACATTTCTGAAAGAGTTCAGTCAGATCACAGGTTTTTGGGGTGTAAGAAGCTACTTACAAACTGTCTAGCATTGGTGTTGAGGTACATGGCCGCTGCGATTTTGAATACATTGGAATGGACTTCATTAAATGATACATTGGAGGGCAAGCAACCAAGGCTTGCAGGGTCTGTGCAGTGGCATTAAGGAAGAAGTCAGAAGATGTAATCTGCATATTAACCAAACATTCGATTATATTTAGATTATACGCAAAACAAAGCTAACTATTTATTACGTAGACTAATCCAAGAACTAAATTGGAACAGACAGATGGACTTTTATCACACCATTAACTAATAACGTACAGAAGTTACACTAAAAAAAACCCAGCATCTTGTAACATGCAGTGATTTCGCTGACATTTTAATAAATGCCAGAAACTTTCATTAAAGGGGAAGGAAACATTTAGTCTAGGATCAGGAGAGGAAAAGAATTTTCATAGGAAAGATCTTATAAAATCAACAAACTGGAAATTGGCAAGTGATAACCTGTAACATCTTTTCTGAAAGAAAAGGGAGAAGCCAGCTGACAGACTTTACACTAAAGGTGACGATTCAACTCCATAAACCAACCAAACCAAAAACCCCGCTGTGATGTGAAAGACTGCGGTGTGAAGAGTTTGGAGCAACCAGTAAAACTGCAGCACACACTAGGAGAAAATACTTTAGAAACATCAAAATCTGGGCTACCTGTCAAGAACAGTGAACAGAGGAAATGTGTTAAAAGGCTGGACAGGCAAAGCAATTACAAAACGAGGCAGCGATCTCAACAGCTCTTGTGCAAAAATGGAGCTGCTAATTCCCACATAACATTTCAAGACTGAAAAAATGGGAGCTAATACAGTCAGATGAGTGCAGAACTGGCTATGCAAGATAAAAGCTGACATCTAAAGCAGAATTTGCTGGTCTGGAAATAGGTTCTAAGGTTCTGCAATGATCAGTCTTGAAATTGGTCTTAATGTTTGTCACTAGCTGTACCAGCAGTTAAAGCATCCTAACTGTCAGTTCAATGAGCCATTGGTAGCACAGAGGAAATTGATACCTTAATAAAAATTTATTATTAATAACAACCTAATACAGCACTGAAGCAAGATGTCTGTTACAGAAGGTAAAAGTTATTTTTTCCAGAGAAATACAATTCTAACACATGAAGACTGAGCTAATCTTCCATCCTGTATTAAACACTGACTTTTCACAAATGGTGCGATAGCGACCCCCTGCTCAACAGAGACCCAAATGATCCGCTTACCAAACTGCCAAAACAAAGCCTAAGGGTAAGTAGAAAGAGAAATAACCACTGAAGTTGATGCATAGAGAGTCATGAATAAACAGAAACTAGAAATGTCAAGGTTTTCAGCCATGATAAAATTACAGTTCTGAAATACTCTGACAGAGGTAACAGAGGCAAATTGCCACCAGGCTTGTGCACCCAGCTGCAGGGGAACCCTGGTCACTAGGTTCAATGATCCACAAATACCCCTGGGTTTCTGGATGTCAACTTTAAACATTTTAACCACAGTTGCAGGATACTGGAAGACAAACGCTTTTATAAAATACTTTTTTTATCTCAGGATAACCCAGAAAAACTTTGACAGATACAATGTACAAGTTTTAACTTAAGCGTATTACTTTTTTCCAGGGTAAGGATACAGCATTGATGTAGCACCAGTTTCCTTTGTTGATCAGCCCTCGCGGTTGCAAAGACACTGGTTTATGTATTAGTCTTACATTTTCCAGTATTTCTGCAGAATGAGAAACAGTAGATTGAGCATCAACAGAACACACATATTGGTCAAACCAAGAACCTGCTGATGCATACAAAATAATTCAAATTAATTAACAAGATTCTCAAACTTCAGCAAGTAATTTTTGCTCCATTTAAACACTGCCTGTATTTCAAATCAGATCTATTTCTTCAACCGAGGACATCCTGGAATCTGGTCAGGAGGATGCTGGTACAAAACCTAATCATTGTCATTTCAAAACTGAGAAAACCTATTTGGTTTTGGTTTTTGTTTTCCTAGAAGTGAGATGCTTTTATTAATACAGATACACATGCAGGTACAAGAACCCATTAGCTGTAATCCTGTGCCACCAATCTCTGAAGTATTTCCCAAATTCTTCTTCTTTGAAGAGAGATGAAGCAGCAGTCTCAGTTTCCAAGTTTCAAACTACACTATCTTACAACAATATCTTCGTGCAAACAGGACAGACATGTCAACGTGGTCTTCTGAACAGTATGTTTCATTTACTGGTTTAAGACTTCCAAAATCTACAAGCTAACAGGCTCACATAATGTATTGCCTACTGTTTTCCTGCCTTCAAAAAACTCCAGCAAGTTTAAAAGTTTAGAAACCACTGCACACAAATACATCTGTCTCGGTTGTGAAACTGAGAGCAAACGCGGGAGTTTTTCCAGGAAGCCTGACCTGTTATTTAGGTATCTAAATAAAAAACTGTTTAAGGAAAATATTGGATCTGGTATATTTTATATTTGCGAACTCAGGACAAGACCTATACAAGACAGAATAAAAAACGCAAATTGTCTACCACAGGGGTTATTTATTTTTATAATAAATGTGAGGGCCTCTAAAGCTACACTGCATAAACTTGAAGAGTTTGAGCTCTTCACTAGAAGGACTACCTAAACAGACAACACAACAGGATACAGGTGGAAAAAGAGGTACAATGCCATAACTAAGCACAGGAGATGGCAGAATTGCAAACAAAATCCACGTACTTCCAAACTATCTCTTTATCTCTATCTATGGCATCATATTTCCCACTGACACCACCAGTTTAACCACACAACACCATGCCAAAGACAGAAAAGACTTAAATCAGTCCTCTATCACATCAAGAATCTGACACCTAAAAGGGCAGACAGCCAAAAGATGTTAAACGGAATATGTATCTGCACAGATGGAGACAAAAATTCCTCTATGAGTGCTGAAATGTATGTTATTAAATTATTAAGGCTCAGGTATTTCAGAACATATTGTTAAAGCAGCAAAGTTTGAAACGTTATGCACACATACAAACCTTCCGCTAATATAACCAAGCAATGTTCAAAACTAGGATAAAAATAATGAAGTACGTATATATTTGCTAATTATTGATAATGCTTATCAATAACTTTTTACATTAACTGCTTTTTTTCCCCATTTTTGCATCATGCTAAAAAAATATTATTAGGACCTTTAGCATCCTCTTGTGGTCATAAAACTGCTTTGTTAACTATGTTTAGTTTGTTTCTTTTAACATAAAGAACTATGCTGTGTACAGCAATTACATTCAATACCACATTTTCATCTCGCATCTAACATTTGCACAAAAACTAAAAGAAGTTTTACAAGAGCATCAGAAGAAAAATACATTTACAATCCTAAGAAAACCTTCTTAAAATTTCAAACCCTGTTATAAAGCACCCATCACTAACCAGACAGAATTGGTGGACACTGACTTTTGAAACATGGCCTTGATTTGAAAACATATTTAGAACAACATTACCATGTTTAGAAATTTCTGCTGGTAATTAGAGAATATTCTGCTAACATGGTGTCATTAAAATACCTGTAAATTAAAAAAAAAAAGTTAATTTCCTAATCAATGCACGTCCAAAGTTTAAGGAAAGAGAAACCATATGGATATGGTCTCCATGCTGAAAAGGTACACGTGTTACAAGGTAGCAGTTTAACAAGAGCTTGAGACCATTATTTGGCTAATATCACGTATGACAGTCAGACCTTTCTTGAAATCTGGACAATGATAGAAAGTTCCAGGACAACCCAGCTGGATAACCCTGCACAAAATCGGTTTCTGCAAGAATGCAGTTTGCACTACAACAGGCTGAACTTCTGAAGTTTTCTATAAAACACCCCAAGCCTTGCATGCCTCCAATCCACATCCACATGCTCTAGTGCTGTATCAAGAAGAAAAACATTCCTACTATGTAACACTGCAACACCTTTCTTGCAAGTTAAACTAGGCAATTCTTGTCTTGCTCACTACAGCCTTGGGAGCGCAGCGAACTGCCATCTTCTTTATGAATTGGGTTGACGTATCTGAAGTTACATCCACGATCACTCCAACAATCTCATCTGAGACTAAATCCCACTTTTCCACATCTGCTGAAAAAGCACAGTTTTCAAATCTTACTTCTATTACATCTTCCTCGGAAAGTAATGCCCAAAGACTGACATTTTCATCAAGTCATCAACAGCAACAGCAGAATCATAGCCATCTTCCATATTTTCCATGTAAATTCATATTAACACACACTGGAAAATAACTTCTTCAGCTTTACTAAGGACACAGTCAACTTCTCAGAACATCCACATCCTTTTATTCTCTAATACCATTACCACCCATTTGTTCTTTGTACTGTATGCTGGCACTTGATTTCTGTTTTGGTGCATCCTTCCATACTTGCATTTACTGGATTCCCCTTCTTCTATTTTAATATCATCCTAGATTTTGTCAGATCTTAAATGTTTGTTGTCGTCAACCGAAATTCTGCCTGCTATGAACAAGTTTTACATGCACTGTTAACTCCATCATCCACAAAGAAAACATGAGTCAGAAAACTGAGATTCTCCTATTGCTATTTTTCCTAAAGTTGCCAAGAACAGTTGTAAGACTACCCAAAGAACAGTTAGTTTTCCAAGAGCTTTTTTTCCCTAGCTTACTTAGAACATTGTACAAGTCCTTATTGACTATCATCAGGTTATGCATCTGGGGGTAGTAACTGTGAAAGGCAGCAAGTGAAGCCTGAAAGCATATTGGTGACAAATATGGACCATTTATAACCTTGCTATCCCTTAGAAATGAATTATTTAAATGTCTGTGCTACCATCTAAATCCAGCTAAGGTGGATAACTGGCATGGTCGTCCCCCTCTAACCATGCAAGTTCTGGACCTGTACTTCTACCATTCGGATGTCACCTGCCTTGAGCTTTGCCAAATAAACATCAATGGTTCAGAGTTTGCTTCAGAAGTTCCTTTAACCTGTTCACTGGTGTTCCAGTAAAGCTGCCTTGGCCACTTGCTAAAATTAACTCTTCAGTGGTTTTTTAATCCACCAACATTAACATGAAATTTGTTTTGATTGTTTTCTAGTCCCCATCTTCCCCTCCTGATCTTGTGCAGCTTTCGTTTAACTTTGAGGACTAAGAAACCACAGACCTTTGCAGGGTGAATCAAGTAGCATTAAATTATCCTCAAGGTGCTTGTGAACCATTAACCTTCCTTTTAATAAAAGGTGACATTAAGGCAGAAGCCAGCAATTTGCCCCTGGAACAGTAGCTTCCTGTGTCCTGAGCAGCTGTTTGAAATGAAAACTGTACAGGAGGGCTGCAGAGCTCGTGTTAATTCAGAAGATTTGCTAAATTTGCTTGCTGAACTCGAGATGCTTTAGGTCTAGGTTTTACCCACTGAGCACCCCATGGCACTTGTAGTCAGAAATTCATTCCCACTGGTACGAGTTGGAATTGGTGAGTTCCCAGTAAATCAAACAACAGATCTCAACTCAGCCACACAGAGAACAAGGAATACAGTAGCTACTTAGGGAAAACGTACAGGATTGCTACCTACCCTTACATAATGACAGCAACAGAGGTAGAGAACTTTGAATTAAATTTGTACAGAAGGGAGTAAATGAACTTGCAGCCTTCCAGTACCTGGAGGGGCCTACAAGGATGCTGGGAGAGGACTTTTTACAAGGGCCTGTAGTGACAGGACAAGGGGTAACGGGTTTAAATTAGATTAGGTTAGATATCAGGAAGAAATTCTTCACAGAGAGGGTGGGGAGGCACTGGAACAGGTTGCCCAGAGATGTTGTGGATGCCCCATCCCTCGATGTCTTCAAGGCCAGGCTGGATGCGGCTCTGAGCAACCTGGTCTAGTGGAAGGTGGCCCTGCCCATGGCAGGGGGGGTGGGACTAGATGATCTTTAAGGTCCCTTCCAACCCCAACCATTCTATGATTCTATTCTATTTGTCTGGAACTCAAAAGCTGAAACTCTCATAAACGCATTTTGAGTGTGGGTGTAAGAGCAGAACACTAACGAACCTATCACCCAAACAGGACAGAGATCATTAAAAAAGAAAGAAAAGAACAGCCAACGAAGAAAGTCACCTTCTTCCACACAGCAAAGCACTGATTCCATGGCATTCAAGTAAACTTTATCTCCTGAAATCAGCAGCATCTGAATTACAGGAATTGCAGAGATGTAACTCCTACCTAAAACAGCTGCAATGAGAAGATGAATTCCCTTTCCCTGGAAAGGTGTCTATCCCCTGCTAAAACAGCCAGCTACCAGTGAAGGTGCAGAAGAAAACAGTATAAAAATTACATTGCTATTTTAATACATTAAAGGCGAAATAAAAAGCTCTGCTCCCACCTGGTGGCAAAAAATAGTACAGAAAGAGTAAAAAACTAGAAAGTTAACTTAAAGCCGAAACAACTTGGACCAGACAAGATCTTAAGGTATCATTTGGCAATGAATTTTCCATTCAGACTGTTTTGTGCCAAACAGAGCTACAACTGCTTGCTGCTGATGAAAAAGGGTTTGAGAGAACAACTTACTCCATGTGTATGCGTTCATACAAACCATTATCACCTGCTTATACACAACTTATGTTTGTGACACCTAAGTGAAAAATACACAGAAATACAAATTCTTCTGACAGTTCCCCTCTCAACAGACAACTTAAGTAATGAAACCATTCCTGACCAAAGAGGGGGTGAGAGGCAGGCATAGACTTCTGGGTATTCTGAACAGAAACCTCCAGGTCAGCTTCTGGTTAGAGCAGAGAACTAACCTGAAGCTGTCACAGGCAAAAGGCCGTTGTGTTTGTAAATTAGCCTGTAGCATAAATATCAGGATTTGCACAAGCCTTTTCACATACGGACTATTTCACAGATTTAAAATTGTTATTTTTGTTCCAACACTCATGAGTCAGTGACACAAAATGCAACCAACTGGGTATTTTCTTCATGTTTTCCGACTGACTCTGCAAAAAAGATCTCATGCACATTCCAGCATTTCTCATTAAAGCCACAAATATGACAGGACCAACGGTCAAAAGCCTTTCTATCACATAGTGCCTTTCCTGATGTACCCTCTGGACAGTTCATATGGGTATTCAAGAGGCAATTGCTAGCATTGTTTCTGAATAAAATAATATTGTTCATAACGGTTATGGAAGTTCTAAATATGAAAGGCAGACCTCTCGGAGCAGATCAATAAACATAAAGGATATTTTCTCAATTAGAATAACTGAAGCAGGACCTATTTAGATGTTATACTTAAGCTACTGTAAGAGTCCAGGAATTTCAGGTACTTTTGCATCTATTAACACTCTTCTTGTAATAGAATGTATTACACGATTATAAATACTGGATAATATAACACACCATTTTCCCAACAAACATTTCTAATGTGTTCTCCCCCTACAGCAGCACACAGCTGAATGCAACCAGCCTGTTTGAAACCACAGATCGCTTCAACATATCGTTTGACAAGTAGCAATAGTTTTACTGCATCACGGTGACATCTCTCTGGAATGTTTACTCGGGGGGACACAAAGCTAGCTTATTTAAATTACATCTTTCAGAGCAGTGTTTGAACAGCCATCTTATTAAGAACATTAAGAAAGGAATGTTCTCTATCAATATTGCGCACTCCTGTTTACAAGCAGAGTTAATACCCTTCCAGTGTAGCATCCACTCGTGTGTATTAACTATACCTGCAATCTTTATGGCTACAGGATCCTCTGAAACTGGAACAGGTCCCTCTTTGACTTCAACCTGTTTCTCAGGGACCAGAGTAGATGTGGCAGGAGGGGTATACTTAGTCTCAACATAGACCACAGATGTGGAAGCAGAGGGCTTGGAATTGTGAAAAAGACTAGCCCACGATTTTGCAGGCTGATTAACAGGGACTGATCCTGCAACCGGGACTGTTGCCTCAGTAGTAGGTGAAGCTTCCTCAGGCTTAGCTTGGTCTGAGTCAGTGCTTTCCACAGTGTGCAATTCTACCCCATTGGCAGCTGTGTCCTCACCAGAGGATTCAAGTGTTTGTCCATTAGTAACGCCAAGGTTTTCAGTAGTATCAGTACCAGCATAAGACTGTACAACAGCTGTCCTTAAAGGGCTATCTCTGCCAGTCTCTGAGGGGATGCAAAACTGTTCAGAATTAGTAACACGGCATACCTCAGGCTGCCCTGCAGTCCTGGTATTGTCTAGTGCGCTAGAAACAGAATCATCAGAGACAGCTTCATTAATGAAGTCCACAGAATTGTCCGGGCTGTTGCAAGTCCTTGGTGTGGCCAGGCAGGGTATGTCTCCTGTCAGTTCCGTATCCTCCGTGCTTATACTATTCAGTCCCGATGAATTCGCATGGCCGTTTACAAGAGCTTCTGTAGGAGCAATGCCATCACTGACATCTTCCAAGTAACTGTAGTATCCAGGCGGTCTTTTTTTCTTCTTTTTACGCTCCCTTTGCCCAAGGCCTCCAGACAAGCCATCATTTTCTGCATTGGAACTGCTGTCCAAAGCGAGGTTTGGATCACTGAACTGGCAGTCAATGGAGTTGTAGTTTGTTTCACTGAGACTAACATCAGCGGGTTTCGGAGCAGGTGCACAACTGAGAATGAATTCTGGAGCCTGAGGATTCAGAGTACTTGAAATACTGTAGTCGGTGTTATTTAGTACAGGGGACTGGGTCTCGGTAACTTCATTAACACCAAATTCAATTCTCTGATACTCTTCCCCTGGACAAGAGAAACCTGAGTTAGTGAATGACATCTAATCAAAAAGCCATAAAATCAAGAAAAATCCTTGCATATTCCTCCACATCAGAGAACAAACTACATTCCCTCAAACTAAAGTAATTCTCATTCTCTCTCTCAATCCTGAAGGCCATTTCAAAACATCATTTCCCTAAAGACAACTGAGTACAATTCAGGTCGTCTTAAACAGAGTGTGCAATTTTCCAAATCACTGTGCAGTTCCTGCAAGTAACACTTATTAAATTCACCTATTAAGAAAAACTATTAAAGCTCAATGACTTCAGCAATATTCTGCATAAAGTTAATTACTGGATAATTGCATATAAAATATGGTGCAATATGTAACTCCACACTTCTTCTAAAGCCAGTCCTTTCCACTGACAATTACAAAAGCCTTTACCTGTTTAACTTTTAAAAAATAATTTCCACAGGTAGAGTTTTGTTTTTAGGGGGTTTGTTTGGTTTGGCTTTCCTGGTGGGTAAAGATTTATCATAATGCTTAATAATTGAAAAAATACTTTCATTATTTGTACAGAAACACTGCAATTACAGCTTTTTAAACTGACCAGTAACTTCTTTAACACAGTTACATTCATTATTATATGAGAACATGATATACGTGACTATATGATTTTATGGCAAGAAATAGAACAGATGCACCTCAACATAAGCCAGTGTTCAACTTCTATATACAAGCAGTACTGAAAAAATGAAAAGGATGGGGTTTGTGGTAGGGTTTTTTTTTTTTGGTTTTGCTGTGTTATTTATCCTGGAGCTTTCACTCTTCAACAAAACACTAAGAAATATTCCAGTAGCAGGCTGCAGTATCACAAAATACTGTCAGTCACCACAGTACTGCAATTTCATGGAACTTAATTAGTTTTCTAATGCATGCGTGCTAAGAAGTAACACAGAACAGTTCCGTTACAACTATTTCCATACCTAACAAATAAAGAAAAAAGTCTCAGGAATGTTAAAGTCACATTTTAGTACTTAAAGTTTTGCAGATCTTTCGATGATACGTATGTTACTGATTCAAAAACATTCATTTTAATATTCTTTGTTTCCTCAAAGATGTGGGGTTAAGTAGCTCATTTCAAATTCTTAAGGCTCTTACTAGAGAGCCAAACACCACCAGACACTATTTCCAAAGAATACAAGTGGATACACCACTGAACTTCATGAAGATTTTGTGGAACTTAAACTATGTATGACACATCAACAAATGCAGATTTTCAAGTATACCAGAGACTCACTAAAAATGAGGTGGGTTTAAAAAAAAAGAAAAAAAACAAAACAACAACAACAAAACAACCCACAAGCAACAGTTCCTAAGGAAAAAAAAAAAGCTATTTGCACACCTAAGGAAATAATCCTATGGGAAGGCAGTCTAGTGGAGAATGTTTTGATACGTAACTGCCAACATAACTGTTTTCAAACTCTCCAAATACTTTCTAGAAAAGCCCACTGAGAAAAATTTTAGCATTTCGGAAACAGTGAAAGAAACAAGGATCTACAGGGCATATTTATTTTTAATATCACATTAGGAGTAACAAACATTCAGTGTGTGCTGAAGTCTGACACGTGCAATATCAACATATTATGAATTAATGAACAAAGATATACAATACAGATGTTAATTGCTTTTCTGCTTTGATCTAGTAACCTGAGAACAAATCACATCAATTTAAATCTTGCTGCCAGTCAGGCTAAAGGAATTGGAAAGGAAAAAAAAAAAAAGAAAAATTCTCCATATGCATCTGATTTCTCTAAATCATGTTAACAAGAGCCTGAATTTCAAATTTTCTTCACCTCTCCCCTACACCTGTGAGAAAGCATTTTATAACACCATGCCTGCCAAACCACCATTCGCCAGCTCCTTCTGCAATCACTGACTAGCTATCACCAACCAGAAAAGACAGCTTAAGTGTCTTTTCAAAAAACCAGCAGGCTAGAGGCAGGGAGGTGAAAGCTGCTGCCTGATATCCACTGAAGAGGGAAGGGCTGGGAGATGTCTGGCATCACCCTAATTGTTTAGCACCAACACTAAGTGACTATCAGTGCCTATGCCAGCCGGCCTGTCAGGACACACACAGCTGGAAACCAGCCACAGCTTCAGTCGCTTGCAAATGCAGGGCGTGGGGATTTATGGGGTTTTAAGGGATACGAGGGACAAATCCACAACAAACATTCCTCCTTAGTTCATCTGCTTATGGAGCAACTTGTTAGCTCAAGCATGAACCAAGGGATAGTTCTTCACCGTGTGTTAACAGTAAAAAGCACAAGCAACAACTGCTAACACTTAATATTTCTCTAACCGTGATAAGAAGGAATTATTGAGCGTATTTCACATCCCAACCAGTTCCACATAATCTGGGACTTGTGTTTCTGTTCCAAAAGCCAAGTTTAAAAAGTAATAATTGCTTTGAAACAAAGAATGTGGTTTCCCTTTGTGGGTGAGCTAAGTGTACCACAGCCAAAAGTGAAAGTTCTCACTGCTGCGCTCCTCTCCTGCTCCTCTCCTCTCCAGCAAGCTTCCAGCACTGTGTCACTGAAAGCTAACCTAGCCCAAAAAAAAGAAAAAAAACCACCATAATCCAAGCAACTTTGGGTAAAAAAAAAAAACACCCATAATCCAAGCAACTTTGGGGTTTTTTTCTGCTTTGGTGAATTTATCAGCTTATTGTAAACTAGACAACCACAAAAGTCAACTCAGGGCAAGTGGGGAGCAGAAAACAAAACATATCCTTTACAACTGTGCCACAGCTGTAACTTAGCTGAAGGAGCAACATGAACATCAAGGGCTAAAATCTTGCCAAGAGCCAAACTGATACCCTAGTATGTAACATGCAAATTACAGCTGGGGAACTGAACTTTACACCTTGCAACAGCATTAGAATAATAAATAGCAGTAGCTGCTATGCAGTTAGTCTGTGGGATGATTGGCAAAAGCTCACTTGCCATAAGATAGTGTCAAGTGCCTTTGAAAAAAAATGAGATGTGATTTTCCTTATTTGTTTTTACTTTCTACTTTGCTTCTGGGCATCTTTGTTTCAATCTAGTTCAGAGTGCTATTTCTGAATGGACGGAATTAAATAGATCTGTCATGAACAATGTGACACACATATTGAAACAAGTATCAACAGATGCTCCAAGGACAAAGTGCACATACAGCAACAAAAGCTGTGAATGCACAGGACTAATTAGTCTGAACAGAGTTCTCAATATTAGAGCTTCAGCTGTGATTTGATTATTCCTAGTATTAACAGATCTTCTAATTACGCAATAAAGTTAAATACTGAAGAGAAGTGTAGAAAAAATTTAGGACTATGGGGGGTGATATGTTCAGTGTGTGTCATCTCACGATTATTCTACAGATTCTGCATAAGCACAGCATTCCAGCTTAGTTTCCACAGCTTCTTATGCAGCCACCACAGTGATAATAGGCATGCACAGTACAGTGCAAGCTTGTTAAAGACATTTGTCAGGCAAAACCTAATTTGCTGTCATTACCTAATCTCAGGGCTGGGAGCGATTCTCTCAGGGCCTAGGAATGATCTGAAAAACATTTGTACAAACCAACTTTCTGTATGGCTTGTGAACATTGAAATTTCAGTCTTCAAGAACAGAACTTCATTCCACAGTTAGACAAAGCAATATATGACTGGACGCCCCTGTCATCAACAACAAACAAATGATATCGTACAGTCCTTTTAATGAACTTCTGAAACTCCTACCTAAACTTACTCAGGGTCCTAAAACTGGTACTAACTAAAGCTCCCCAATTTTCAAATAGGTTGTATATCTGCTTTCAAATGGGACCTGTAGTCCTTCTTTACAACTGGCTATCTTACCTTTAAATGCAAGGCCAAAGTCGCTAAGCATAATGATCAGGTGTTCTTAAACATTAATATGTGCATTTTGGTCCTCCTTAAGTACTTTTGAGAAATGTCCAGTCAGACACTTGCATTATTTTAAAGGAGATCTGGATGCCATTCGTACCATCCTCATATACTAAGTCTCAGCTTCCTTGCTCTACCCTGGTTCAAGGAAGAAGAACAAATACTAATTTACCTGCCACTTAAAGTATTGAGAAGGTTTGGTTTATGTAACTATGAAGTAAGGCCAGGTTTCTTTTTCAAGTTGTAAGGTACATGGGTTGAGGGAGCAGATAGGTGACTGTTACAGCTTTAAAACAGGAACTCTTAATGCGTTTTTACATTGAGTCATACATTCATTCAAAAAAAAAAAAAAAAGAAAAAAAAGGATTTTCCAGAAAAATAGCTGAGCCAGACAGAAGCAAAAGGGTAAAAGGGAACACTGAGCAGAGCACTGCTTGCAGAGCTGTCTTCAGATTGCAACTGCCAGAAAAGAAATACTCATGCTATGGCTCTTCAAAGAGGGCCAGCTGAACGCCACACTACTTCCTTATTTCTCCAGTATGAGCGCTCTAGCAAGCTTCAGCCCCCTCCCCTTTTCATATTTACACTCTACAGTGTTTCAGCAAGACTGGCATTGTGTGGTAGCACAATCGAGGAGGAGTAAGCATGAGTACCCCAGCTAGCTGAAGTTCAACACAACGTTTTCAAATACTCTCACAGGTTTCATTCAGTAAAGGTGTTTAAAAAAGCAATCTACCAAATATATGCACAAATACCTGCAGAACAACTTCCAAAGTTTGAATTTAAAGAGGTTGTAGTAAATCTAAGGAAGGTGTCACAATTTTTAACTTTAAAAAAAAAATGGATGCTGATTTCTTACCATTGTGAAACTTACCTGTGGACTTAATACCACATGAAACTGTTTCATTGTATGGGGGGAGCTGTACAAAAAAAGAAATGAAACTTATTTAAAGACAGAGCAACTTCATTAACATTTGATATCAGTTTCATTTGAAACCTCCGAATCCTTTAAAAAACAGTATGATCATTAAGGTTTGATTTTCTGAGAATGTGCCTTGAACTCATGCTTCTATATTTACCAAATCCCACTCTGTAGCTTCAAGTGCCCTTGCAGATTACCACTATTACTGAAAGATAAAGATTATCTCGGTTACACACCACAGGCTCATCAACTTCTCAAGCACTTCACCTCACAGCATCAGGATCTTCCTTCATCAACACTCACTCAGTAAAACTAGGAACACATCCGCTTTTTACACAAAACCTGAAGTAAAGATAGACCAAATTACCTGTGAAAGTATGAAACAAAGTTTTGCAGACAACAGTCACCCCTAAACCTTTTGGCTCTCAACCTGGTTCAGCTGTAGTGCTGCCCTTTAAATGTTTCAGCTAAGATGTACTGTTGAATGTGATTAAAAAAACCAAAAATTTTTGACTGTCAGCCTAAGCTAACATAACCACAGCACACAGCTTCTACCTGGCTTGTAAATACGTCTGCTGTAAAGCACTGGCATCATTTTAGGACTCACTGGTTGTTTGAAGCCTTGCTTTTGTGCAATCATGGGTGGGCAATTTCTAATCCCCCCTCACCTGGCTCCCCAGTCATCCAGCAGCTGAAAGCCTCCTCCTGTGCCTGCATGAACTGGGAGCCACTGCTACGCTGTGGCCCAGCAGCTGCCTGGAGAACAGCTGAACTGTTTCTGCAAAGGGAGCCAGAAATGGAAACTATAGTGCAGTTTTATAATGCTATTCTCAACATTAATTATAATGCTTTATCAAATATCAAAGACTTCAGTGAAGCTAAAGCTACAGATACTTACATACTGCCTCCTTAAAGCACTGTAGGGAACAGCGCACTGGAAATGGCAAGAAAAATATTCCTAAAATTCCATTATAAAAAGTGTGTAAAAAGATGACATACTGTAAAATCCATTTATAAACCACAGTACACCTTAATACATCAACTTTCCAGGAGAATTAATAGATCAGAAAGAGGCTCCAAGCTGTTAAGAACTTGTCATCCATATTAATATTGAACATGGATTCAATATGATTTTATGGTTAGAGCCTAAAAAGTTACTCTACAATTCTACAGTCAACAGTATGATACAACTTGTAATTCTTGTTTTTCTCCAATTCAAAGGGCTTAAGAAAATACAAAGTTAAGAAAAATAAAACCACACTAAAGAAGTAATAATCCACTTATTGGTCCCCTACATAGCTGGTTAAGTAACAGCACCCCTGCAAAGTAGAGATTTCCAAGTTGACCTGTTTCATACAACTGGCTCATCAGAACCACCTTGGTCAAGACGTATCCGTAGAACATATATTAACAGTGCCACATAAAAAGAGACTTTCCAGGTAACTTTTAGCTTTCACTCGTCCCCACCTCAGTCGATCCTTCTATATGTAAGGGACATCAGAGGATGCTGGGATTCCCAGAACTGGCACTGCCCCCACAGAATGTATGTCAAACACCACTGCAGTATCATAATCTCAGTCCTGCCCTTCTTGAATTTCAGCCTATTTTTTTTCAGACCACTTTTCTCTGAAATATCTGCCCAGTGTAAAACTAATAGGCATAATTTTCATTTCATCACCCAGATAATTAAAACATTGAACTGAACCAGATCAAGGACAAACTTAAGGAACATTCTTCAGCACAATTTTTATTTTGATAGCTAACCAGTAAGTGGTACACTTGAGACAGTTATAAAATGAAGTAAGACTGGTTCAAACACTGTAGGTTCATGTTTCCTTAGCATACTTTATGAGAATAGCTTTGCAGAAGTCAGGATACAACATTTCCATCGTCCACAATGTGTCAGAATAGCTGACGTAGGACACTTAAGGTGACGCTCACTGCTACTACAATTAATGTTGGGAAAAAGCACTATCGTCAGAAGAAACATGCATTACCTGAAGATCTATTCTGCGTTACTTCCCAGCTACCACAGAAAATACAAAGCTATCCTAAAGGCAAGTAGAAGCTTTTTCTTTCTAAACCTTCCCAACTCCACTCCCTTCATGCACTTTGATCATTTAGCAACACACTACGCTAATTATACTTTGAGCATTAAGTTACAGGAAACTAAGCTGCATTAACAATGGTCATCAGATTTATAAAATGTGACACAAGGATTTTGCCATCTACAGTTGAAGTGTTCGTTTCCATACCTTGAGGGGGGAGGACGGAAGCATGACTGAAGTGTTTGAATGAAAATCTTTAGGAGAAGAAAACATGGAAATTGACCTAGAGGAGAATACACTTTCCAACTCCGGAGATTAGGACAATGGCATAATACTCTTCCCTACAAAGGAAAATGGTTTCTCACTCTTTACCAAGAGCTGCAGAGAATAAGAGTCTACATTACTATCTGCAGTATGTTATGAACTCAAACACACAATGAACTGTTTCCACTCTTTGGTTCTCACTGCCCCTGTAATTAGTTCATTACTGATCTATTTCTCAGACCTTAGGCACATCCTTGCAAGCATAGCTTTCATGGTTAGCACTGCTCCACCTGTCAAAACTATTAAGAATTCTGTTTCGGAAGGCTCACAGGCATTAAGCCCACCTTACTTAGAACCAAGAACAGAACTGAAAAAGCTTTCTCTATATCCACCTCAAAAAAAAAAAAAAAAAAGGCACTCAAAGCTGAGGTAGTAGGGCTGGATAATGCACTTTCAACACCCTATCACTACAGTGTCAGCTATTCCAGCTCTGAAAAACGACAAGTAGAAGGTAGAACAATAAATTTCTTATTTCTAAAAGTTGACTTAACATCCACATACACGGAAAGAAGACTCCTGTTCAGTATCTTCAGTTTGTAAATTAGCAAGCTAAGAGAATGGAAAAAAATGGGTTTGTTATATTTCAAATATACACAGAGATGTGGCTTTAAAATGTTGTTTTATTTTTTTTCCAAAGAAGAAGTTTAAAGTAAATCTTACCTCAACAGAGCATCGCGGAGTCACAAAGAACTGATTAAATTCATCAGGGCTGAACTCCCCAAAAATATACTAAAAATAAAAAAGAGAAGAATCTTTGTTAAAGAAGGATTTATACTTGATATAATTTATGGTAAAATTTATTAAGATACTAGCATTCAAAAAGACCTGTGTGCTGGGAGCCAGAAACTCCTCTGTTTGCAACCCAACTCTCACTTCTTCCCAAGTCTTAAAAAAGTACTTCAGGATCTAAAACTGTGTAGAACACATTTTCTTTCAAATTCTCACCAGAGAGAATCACAGCACAAACTGCAGCTCATGCCAAGGCCAGCTCTAAACCAACATGTAGGGTGAGGAGTTGCATCAGTTCATATAAGCCCTAGGCACAAGCCAGTTTACCTTCTAAAACAACACAGACAACTACCCTACACAACAGAAAAAACAACAATTACTTTTCCAGAGTTCTGCTAAACTAATGACTTACACAAGACTAATGGTGCCAGTGCACAAGCACAGAACTGCAACTGCCTAGTTGTAGAAAAATACACCAGATCTCAACATCATCCATTTTGGTACAGCTGCTCTTACAAATTTTGTTACCCCGTTCCTGAAACTCTGCTTACCAAAACTAAGATGAAATGTCTTTTCTCAACATTATCTTCCTGCACTTTTTTACATATTTTACATCTGTATTTCTATGGAAAAATAAGCACTTAAGACAATAAATAAATAAATAACCCAGCATGCTAAAATGAGAGTTTATGTTCAGTTTACAGAAAAAGAGATGTTCCCAATAAAAATGCCTCTCATGTTGGCGTTTTATAGCACCTGGAAGTTTCTGCGAACTTCCACCTCCAGCTGTAATTAGCTGAATAGCATCTGAACATTCAGGACATCAGAGCGATACGGGGACAGAACAAAGCTGAACCAGGAGTTGAATAAACCAACAAAATAGACAAGAGGACTGGAAAATACCACTAACAGCACATTCTTGGCACACAGCAGGATATCCACATTAAGAGGCACTAGTTACAAATATTATGGCTATGGATAAAAGCAGATCCGTTTGGTCCAGTACCTTACAGCCTACCACCCTCATTCACTTGCAGTTTACTCTAACAGTCACTTCAGAGAGAGGTCTTAGCTATCTTCCACCTTCCATGAGAGCACCAGGGCAGACACCATCTTTTCCATCAGTGTTATGTCTTGCTCATGGTAAATCCTTAGCTTAAGTGTATCAAGATACAATTAATTAGACTGGGAGTTGAACCGTAGAAAAAAGTTGTCCAAATTTGAAAAATCATCTCTAGTTGCAGTGCAGGCTGTTGCCGCAAACTGCAGATAAAGTAATTAATCACAGTGTTAGTTTTAGATTTTAGGTGGTTCATTCCAACAACACTCATGTAACTTTGCTGGTAGCATGACTCGCAGCCATCCACCTTCATAAATTCCAAAGCTTAAGTTTAAGCTAAATACCCCAGCAATTACCAAATGTAGTTTTCTTGCACAAATAAGTGATTTATACACATACCACTTTCATGTGTGGAAAGAGTTTAACCATTTCAATGCACTTCGGTGTTTTTAAACCAGCTTTAATATAACCTGGTCTAGTCAACAAACAGTAACAGTCAAAACAAACTGCAACATCTGAGATAAAAATGTTTGAAGTGCAGTGAAACAGTTAATGCTTTAAATAACCACATAACCAACCGCTAACCACGGGCTGAGACAGTACAACACCTAAACAGAACAAGATCCCTAAATTGTACTTCAGTGAACAGGTTCACAGTTCTTGGGACAGGATTTAAACCTGGCTTATGGTCTCAATATAACCAACTCATTTTCACTTGGTAACATAGCAGCTAGAATTTATCATATTCCAATAACAAGCCTACAAAAAACAATTGCTGAATCATAATTCAAGTTATGTTTTTAGGAGATATTTTTGATGCCATCATGCAATAAAACCAATAATCTCATCTATAGACTAAGAAAAGTTATATAAATCCAACCCTAATTCCTCCACAGAATAATAGTGTCCTCTTTTACCAATACTTTTAACCTAGGTATCACAGATCTGGTATTTCTTTCTGAGCAAAAGAAAGTGCTACTTTTTAATTAGGGAACACAAGATAGTATTAATGATCACTTTGTTTAATGGAACTGGTTTACTACATAATGATGTATTCACTCATGGAAATGTTGTGTCTATACAACTGTTTCTTCCTAATTTAAAACAGGTCATTAAAAATTTACCAACATCTAACCCAAAAACTAATCCTCATCAGACTACACTAAAGAAAAAAAAAGGGGGGTGGGGTGTAAGGGTATATACCAATCATCTCCTTTTGGCCTAAGAAACCAGAATTTTAGTAGATTTTGTGAGGTTTTATTTAACAATGCTTTATACCTACAAACCCCAAGTAAACCAGTTAAAAGGTCCCTGCATAATCAACTGAGAAAACTGCTGTTTCAAAATAAACTTACTAGGCCATAGAACTGATGGCATTAAACCTACCCAACTTAACCGACCTTCCTGCCCTCTGCCTCTCCGGTCTGCCTCCTCTCCCAGTAAGATTTCTGCAAGCTGCACACCCAGCACCCTCTGCTAGCACGACAGAATTTCCTACCATTTTTAAGATGCACAATGTGACGACATGAAAAAAACCTGATAACTCACAACACTTGGCAAATATAATCATCTTTACAAAAAAAGGATGTGAGGAGAGAGGGAAGCCACTGCATTTGAAAGCACCTGAAATACAGCAGTAGCTCCCTGCCTGCCTGCTCTCCATCCATCCTACCTCCCAAAGAATTAGTGTGCCTGGCACTATGCAAATGATCTCTGCAGAAGAACATGCTTGTTTTAGCTGTGAAACAGGTTCAGAAAGACATCACTTTAGTGCTTCTCTGAACCATTCATTCAAATTTAAACGGGTTTTCTGCAACATTTCTAGAATGCCTTAGTAAGCAATTTTTCAATATCAAAACTATTTCAATTCCAGTTTTTGCATTTGGAGGCGCACGCTTGCGTAAGAAAGACATTCCGATGAGGACTACATCAAACTGACTCCTTTAAACGCGGAACTCTGACCTACCCTGTAATCTCAATAAACTTCTGTGTACTTCACAGCACTCTGAAGTCCCAATCACATATACCAAGCGAGTGGGACCTCACCCACCACACAAGCTCCAAGAAAAACATGGGTGTCAAACACAGACTGCTTACAGTCAGACGTAATGCAGGCAAGAGATGTGATCTGCTCAGAGGTAGGCTGCTGGTCATGCTGCCCATTACGGATGTGTCAGAGTATCAAGAGCCTTTCACTTCACAGTAACTATAACTGTTACCTGAGCAAAGGAAGAGAATAACTGCCCCGACGATACGTATGAACAGACAGCTGAATTAGCCCAGTTAGCGAAATCCATGCCCATTACCATCAATAATGCATAAACAGTGTATGGCAATATACGAACCCACAATATTAAAGAATATCACCAGTGAAAAGTTGAAGCTTAATTACTCAGAGCTCAACATAACAATCATTTTAAAGCAAAAAAAGAAGCTTTCTCCAAGCAAAAATACTGTTTAGTATTCAATTATATATTTCAAAAATTAATTTTGATTTATGTGCTCAGACAAAAAAAATATCTGCTTGAAAAGCATGCCAAATAGTAGTCAAGGGTCTAAGTGGTAGCTCACAAGGGATAGCAGGGATGATGCTTAGGAAAAAAAAACAAAAAACAAAAAAAAACCACAGTCTTTCATCGACACTGGATTTGGACAGAATATTGCAGGGAGGAAGTTTTGAAAATTTCCAACTGTCACATTACCCCAGACTTACTTTTAAAGATATATAATCCCCAAGAGGCTTAATTCAGAGTCAGATCTGATCTCCCCCTCCTTCTCAAACCATCTCTGCAACCTACATATCAGTTTGCTGTTCTGGCTTGGGGGAAGAAATCCTCTCTCACTTTTTCGGGAGTATGTATTTCACCCTGCTTCTCCCGCTACTCCCCAGATTGTTTAACTCTGCAGAGCAATCACTAACCTTGAGTTAAGTGTATTCAAGGATCCCTTAAGATACCTCAGTCTGGTGAGCTTAATTTCTGCCACAGATTAAGAGCAAAGTCAAAACAGCATTGTAGAAATTTCAATGAGCTTCCACTTGTGGCTGAGTAAGAAAAACAGATGGAAAATAGTAGTCTCCTCGGCAAGGGGCGGAGAGGTGGGCAGGGTTGTGTGGAGAGGACAAAGCTTTGTGGAAATCTGGGGGGCGTTTCTACCACCTTCCCACCTTCTCATCAGTGTTTCCAAATCTCTCTTTGGAATGGAAAAACAAAATAGAAAGCACACTGATGGATCTATTCCATTTTGCACTTTACGACCAGAACCCAACTTGGCTGTTTGGCAGAGATGTACAGTATGTCATTAAGCATATTAAAATCAACACGATTTTAACTGATGGGAGTAAACATATTCCAACATAACAAAATACCTTTCTTACACTGCATGAGCAGAAATGGATGGTTTTTCCATCTAGCATCTTTCATATGGAGGTTTAACAACCAATCACCTTCTAAACGAGTCACTTTGTAAAAGCAAACAATGCCAGAATAAAACTTAAAGATGAAATAGCATTAGGCAGGATGGTACGTGAAGTACACAAAATCTCTCCTTTCAGATACTGACACTAATAACAACTAGCACATAAATTTGTAAAAATCAATGCGAAGGTCAATACACTTCGTGCAATCCTAAAGTGGTGCCTCTTTCCACATGAAGGTGCTGGTGGCATGGATGCTCCAGTTTTTAATTAATTTTTCTTATGTTACCAGTACTTCAGATTTAATTTATTTGCCTTATTTCCACCTGTTTGGGGACTGAATTCAAAACATTCTCACAGAGCTTTGAAGAGTACAAAAAAACCAAAGAAAACCACAACACAACAACAAAAACCCAACTGACAAAGAAGAAAAAGTACCACTAAATTCCTGAAAATGTCTGAAAACCAAATCCAACTGTAGTTCTGAAGTCCTTACTGTGTGACTGAAGAGAGGGCATCAAAAGA